CCCAATTGTCTCTCAGCTTGGAGATAATCGGCAACTATAAAAACAAACGAATCCTATTCCCAAGTTGTCCATTTTTGTTTCCAAGCTGAAGGACAATTGGGAAGAATTTACTGTACTTGCCTCTGCTTCCTCAAGCATTTACCTGTTACATCGCAGTGTTTCTAACATCGAGTTATTCGAACTGAATGGATTATTCAATTGAAGGTATTAAACACTTGTTATTTTTACTATGAAATTTTTTAATTATTCAGTTTTATTGTCTCGAAGTTACCTAATATATACGTTTGATTTTCTTTAATCTAACTTTTCTCGAAAATGGTTAAACATGTCTTGGAATTCCTATAGAAAACTATTCCTTGAACAGTCCTCGAGATTATTGTACAAAATTTTCTTACAGTAACCTGCATGTTTAATTGCAATCATGTTTTTTAGAAGCGCGTCCGAGGAAAACTCGAGACGTTCTTAAGAAATAGGTTTGTTCGTCACCCAATGACAAAAAAAGGGAGGGGTTTCGTTCAATTCAGAATACATTCCATTTAAACGATTGCACCGAAGAAGTTTACAAACGCTTAGAAAATTTTTGCAACCTTCTATGTGTGAATATTAACAATAGATTAAAGCACATGTGTGAATATTAACAATAGATTAAAGCACATTCGAAAAGCTTCCAGATTGAATACTTCTTATGAAAAATATGCTATTGATGTTTGATTTTTGCAAATATTTTCGTACATAATTTCTTATTATTTATTAACCTGCTGCATTGCAATATTTGTTGCTTGTTTATGTATTATGTTCAAATATGTGTCAGTTATGTATGTATTATGTTAGAATGTGTGTTACCCGACACTCAGTAATTCTTAATAAAAAATGATTCGAATAAAAATTAGTTAATAGACAGTTCCTCAAAAATTACAATATCAAATGTTGAAAGATTTTTTTATTCCACTAAAAAACAAAATCATTGCAATTTTGTTAACACGACTGTATATTATTTATGTGCAAATCTATTCATCTTTGTATTCCCTTCAAAAAATGATTGATGTACTTAGGTCGAAAATTAATTAGTTTAGAAGTTATGACTTTTATCCGGAACGCCCATAAGATCACATGACTGTACGCCGTCCCGTTGCATTCCTGCTTGAGGCACCCTATTCGGGTGTATCAGACGATCAGCCATTCTTGGAATTTCCACTCAAGACCAGTGGTGTCCAATGGTGTCAGGGATTCTGCTCGGAATATGCTCCGAGTGGTGCAGACGAAACCTCACAAATGGTATTACACGATTCCAATGGATTGCCAATGGAATCCATTGTCATCATCCAATCTCATCTGTGAGGTCTCCCCTCTCCATCACTCTGCAGCACATTTCTAGTTTTAATATTTTAAATAAATTTATTTCTCTTATGAATTTACATAAATTAATTATTTCGAAGACTCTTCGATATCTCGGTATGCTTCCACTATCTGACGCGGATGCGTAATTATCTCACTCTTACTTTTCTGGAGGAAGATCGTAACGTACACAACAGACTCTCTCACTACTTGTGTCTTTAGGAGAGCAAATTCTTGAGAGCACAGTGATCGAGAATCCTCAAAATGTGATAAAATTTTGTTCTATTGGTAATATATTCAGTTTACTATTACTAGTAAATCCAATAGTTTCGAATATTTATAGTTAGTTGTTGATAAGATCTGATAAAGGAAATACATACGTCCATCACTTTGCATATGGCTTTCACGTCTTTCCATAGTTTGCCGTATTATGTTAAATGAAATTATATAAAAACTCTGCTGCTTTATCCCAAACCAATAACAGGTGGCTTATCAGTCTGCGTTTATTATAACGCATTAATTATTATAATATAATTTATTTAATTATTATCTTATAATATAATATATAATATTCAACGCAAATATTAATCGATGTCACATCTTTTATATCTAAGATTGTTGAAATTATAAAGACACCTCCATAGGAAATACTTGAAAAAAATGTCGGAATTCCAGCATACATTCTAATGAAAATTGCAAAAGTCTAAATGAACACTGTTTTGTCATTCTTATAAAGCAACACGCGTCAGTCACGATCAGTGCTCGGCAAGTTTGGTATTAAACTTTCAAGCGCATTGCGAACAGTCTGAAGAAATTATGAGATATCTCCGATGGGACGAGCGATTACATTTTTGAATCGACAAGCTTTTTCTACAAAAGAGGATGACACAATAATAAATATAGTATAAAAAAATCTCTGAGAAAGCTGAATGGAGTATGTAGTGCAAGGTGAATGCCATTCATTGATAATAAGTGCGCGAAGTGACCGCGTAAGCCGCGCGAAGCGATTGATTTTCGAATGCGAGTGCGGCTTCAGCGAAGCTCCACATTTCGAACATGGCTGCGCGTCGCGCCGATGCTCTTTTTGTCACGTAACAGCGCAGCGTATTTACAGTGTCAGCAATCAGGTGGTGAAGTAACGTCAGAGAAGCCGAGAGAAATCGGTGGACACAGAAGAGGGAAGTAGGTGGTGAGGGGATGGTGGAGAAAGGGAGTCGCCTCTGTTCGAGAGAGATAAACTTTCGACGCGCATCGAAGAATTACACGAAGCCTGGCTCTGACTCGCTTGCCTCGCCGCGCCGCGCCAATCCGCTCCACACTGTTCCGCTCGCTCTTACTTCCTTCTTCCTAGGGTTCGCCTCGATCACGGCCACGGTCGGCCAGAAGAAAGGTTGCTCAGTTGCTCCAATGCTCCGTTCTTTCTTGCGTCCCGCTGACTCACGCCGCGCCATACCGATGGTTTATTAACCCTCGCGGATGCTTTAGCGAAACATTTAAATAGCGGACGCGCCGATACCGATACCGGCGCCCATTGTTCCACACGTGAACGTAAATTTTGAAAGTTGGACAGCCCGGGTTTTCGTGGTCTGTTACTTTCAACGCTATACCCGTTGTTAGTATAGTCGAACGAACGAGCGTCATTCAACACTCGCCTATAGAGTGGTTCCTATTAATGCATAAGCACTCTTGCAAATTTCAGAATAAAACTTAGAGATTCCTCAAAAAGTTAAAAGAAATACTGAAAAATCATCGACACGAAGTGAAAGGGAAAAAACAAAATAGAATATAAAAAGGATTATCAAATGAAAGAGTCAATTGAAGTCGAACGAAACAAATTTTAATAATTTTTTATACGTCATATTAAAAAAATTAAAATTAAAGAAAAGTTTCCTTCGTCAACTGAAAGATAAAAATGCTAGTAGGTTATATTAATTTATACGTTCTTTTTACATGCTAGAGAGCTGCGCGGCAAGCTATCAATGACTTTCCGATAACCTCCGTGGATTTCGCTATGCGCTTCGATTATCGCATCCTTTAATTCGAAAACGTTTCGAAATTTCCGACTTTCAGGCAAGCCGCGCCGTATAGAACGTGGACATCTGATAACATTAACTAATGTACTCCTCACCGTCCATCCTTTTTCATGAAAAAGTCAATGGGAAGGTCCCATAATTGCATAAGTTCCCCAAGCTATGAGAGATCCACTCCGAAACTTCTTTTTGAAAAATACCGTAATTCCTTTCTCAACCAATGAGAGGGGAGCTCGACTGGCGCAAGGCGACCGAGCCAACGAGCAGTCGAAGCCCCGTTCCATTTATTGGCTCGGCCGTCTCGCGCCAGACGAGCTCGCCTCTCATTGGTCAGTTGTTTTCGTTAATACCTGGTAAGCAAAGCCGCGGATTGCATTTTCGCTAAGGAAAAAGTTACTTTAAATAACGTCAGGAATTCCTCATTTCCAGAACCAGAATCGATACATTTCATAGCAGTTATGAGCTTTTTTTAGGCTGTGAGAATTCTTTATAACTGTTTCAGTCAGAATCGATATACACGTATACTTGTGAACAAAAGTTACGAAAAAACTTTTAATAAGCAGTAAATTTTTTTAAAAGTGCACTAGATGACTAGATGAGTTAGAGGGACTAGTTCATTGTATTATGAATAAAATACATTTTTTTAAATCCTGCTATTACTTGAAATGACAAGAAAAGATAAATAACTCGATGAAGATAAATAAATTGATTTCGATGACATTTCCAGCACGCATATAAGATACCGAGATCTACGGAATACATTCTTTAAGTGTTCGTTCTAGAGGCAGATAAAAAAGTTAAAAAATGAGAACGTTTTCATTCTTTTTTTGCCATTTCAATAGCAAAATTAAAAAAAAGTATTTTAGTCATTGTACAGTAAACATTTAAAAAAGATTCAAGTCATTTGGTCCAATTTGAAAAAAAGTTATTGTGCTTTGAAAGATGTTTCTTAACTTTTGTCCGTAAGCGCACGTACATAATAGTTTAAAACCGTTACTTTCGGAATCTTTTTCTTCCCTGGGCGAAACATTAGTATTTTCATTTCCATTCTACTTCAAAGCGTGATAGAAATAGAAAGTATCCATCGTCTGCAGAAGTGGGCAGGTCTGGTTCTTTCTAACAGTAAGTGTCCGTTCCGTATAAAATGTGTAAGAGACGTGCAAGACCAGTGACTCTCGTTTCCAGAAATACTAAAGGATACACGAACTTTCTCCCGGCTTCGCGGCTGTTGTCTACAGCAACCTTACTCGTTAATCATTACTCATTAATCACTGCGCATTGCTCATTCATATTGAAACTAATTATAAGACCACTCGCCGAGCCCAACGGAGCCTCGAAAATCGTGATGTGAAACAAATAAAGGAAAGGGGCCTTTTTCGTCGAACAGCCAAATGATTCGCTGTGATCAGCTCCATTGGAACCGGCGTTTGGCCATATAAAATATACAGTAGAACCTCGATTATCTGATTTCAGCTTCATCAATTTCTACAGTAAATCGTTTCGCGTGTGGATTGCCTTAAATTTAGCCGATTACGTGCGAAAAATATTTGTATAATGAATAATTCTGATATTGGAAGACCGGATAATCGTTGTTCTATCGTATGGAAATCTGTACTACATAGTATAGGTGAATACCTTTCGGGTGATATCTGGTCGACAAAGCCAACCACCTTCTTTTTGGTTCCGTTAACGCTGAGCGAAGGCATACTACAAGGGGTAACGATTTACAACATACACAGAAACGACATTTCAGTATTACTTAATGAACCTCTCTACTTTGATGGCCCCAGAAATTCAACTTTTCTTCGTCAAATTTTTTAATCACGATTTCTCGAATTATTTTGGAGAAACTTACAAAATTGACAACACTGCAGACTTTAAAATGTAGCGTCCCTCGTAAACATTGTAGTTAAACTGCGGATTTTTATAAAAAATTTGCAATCGATTCTAAAGAGAAAAAGACAAACATGTATTTCTTCGTTCGACGAATTTAATAGCTACGTCGAAAATTACTTTTTTGACAAAAATTAGTAAGTGAAATACGAACGCTCAACAAAGAGCAACGAAGACTTCGGAAGAATTTCAGAATATTTTTACACTATTCCCCTTTTGTTAAAATTATCAGATGAAAAAATAAGTTACTTCCTACAACTGATACACAAAATTTTTATTTTCCATACGCAGTAATAACATTTCCTAGTATCTTTACAAGTTGATGTTTTATCTGTTCGATTCGATCGTAAACGCATAAAGTCTGCAGTATAATTATTAAACTGCGGATCTCTATGCAAAATAAAAGTTGACTGTACTAATTGCAAAATATAGAAGCTACATAGATATTTCTTTCGTTTCTTAATCATTTTAATAAGTTGAGAACAATCTAGCAGTATTTTTAAACTGTATAAATATTTTTGCATTTGTATCTACATAAATGCATGCAAAATGTCCGTAGTCTAATTACAACAATACTTGAAATTTTTAATTTTGCTTTACTCCAAGTGACGCTCTCCGCATTGTGAAAGTTGCCGCGATATCAAAAACTATAAGCATGTCGACATTCGGAACATTTGATTTTTCAGTAAAAAAAAAAAAATTAAAAAGTCAACGGACTGCTGGTAAACATTCAGGTTTCTTATTTTTGTTCGGATTAAATATTCGACATTTTTCTGCTTCACGCAATTACAATAATTGATGTTATTTTCAACTTTAATAATTGAGTGAAAATTAGTTTCACTTGAAAAAATGACGAAAATTCGTATGATCTTTCGACCGTCAAAGTAGAGAGTTAAACTCCTCGAGCTATGTTCACATCGCCTTGACTTCGCAAACTGTAGATTTGGCGTATTATAGCTTCAACGCTTTCTATGTAGAGCGTATAATTTGCGGTTTAATCCTGCCGTTTTAAGGCTTTGTTTTCTGATCAAGATGATGTGGACGTGGCTTTAGGTTCAGTCATGTTCAAGATGCCCTGAGAGAAATTAAAGCGTTTCCAAGAAAAATTATCGGACTGCAAACCAATTAGCTCTAAACATGTACTTTCACCAAAATATTACTAATGTTGTCTGCACGAAGTCTGCAACAATACAAATATAAAATTGTTGTTGAGAAATTCTGCATCTCATTGTCCTTGTTGCAAAACCAAGCTATATAAAGAAAATTAACATATTTCCAAACGTAAATTAAATCAATGTCTTTCAATATAATTTAAAAACAACTTATTAATTTTTAAATGCAATGCGATGTTTCTATACGAATTATTTACTCTGGTAATTTCAAATAACAACACTCCATAGCCATGAGTTACTTAATTTTGTGCAAATCGAAAGAGAAAAAATTAGTTGCAAACGTTTTCATTAGGTTTTTAAATTAAATTTTGAAACATGAAGAAAGTATTTCTCTTATGCTATATAAAAACATTAATTTCAAAATTTTTTTAAATATTCCACTTTTTGATAGTTATGAAAAGTATACTATAGATATACATATACATATATATATATATGTATAATACAGAGTATAGCACGTAACTGTCGCCACTGAAAAATGTTTCTAATGAAAATCAATCAATATTTTATCGACTACATATTGAAATACAACAATTTTTAAATCTATTGCTTTTCGACTAAAAAGTCAAAGTCACTTTGATTTTTTTTAAATAGCAACCTGTATTTTTGACTTCGTAGTGTCATTGCTGATGAAAAAATTAATTCAACGACCTACTATACGACCTCCAGATAACCTTGACTTCAGCAAGTAGGGTGGAACAACAAAAGTGTAAATACCGAAAGCTATTTTACTTCAATCAATTTACCATAAGTGCCCGAAATATAGTCTTCCGTCTTGCTCCACTAGACTTTTTTTGTAGGTCTACAGGTTACGCTCTACGCTCTGTCAATTCAAAGTATTGAACTTTTGAAAAAGCGAATCCACACAGCATGTATGGAGGTTCATCGTAACAGTATTATAGCTGCAATTGATTGTAACTTGTTTACATGCTTATTCTAGCTACTGGAATTGTGCTTACAAGAAAATGAACTATTCTTCGAGCACTTATTGTAAATTGATTGTAATAAAATAGCTTTCGGTATTTACACTTTTGTTGTTCCACCCTAACTTGATGAAGTCAAGGTCATCTGAAGGTCATAGTTTACTAGGTTGTTGAATTCAGTTTTTCATCAACAATAACACTATGAAGTCAAAAATACAGAGTGCCATTTGAAAAAGTCAAGATGACCTTGATTTTTTTATCGAAAAACAATAGTTTTTGAAAATTGTTGTATTTCAATATGTAGCCGAGTAAATACTGATAGATTTTCATTGGAAACATTTTTCTGTCAGACTGTCAAAAGTGCTTGAAAAATTGTGGCGACAGTTACTTTTACATGTACATACAGGATGACCCATTTGAAGATTTGCATTTAATTATCTCCTAAACTATAGGTTGTTTCTACAAATGTTCTGAATGTAACTTTCCCTATTTCAAGATGGACATCTTATGATAATCACAAATCCTCTCTAGATGGATATGCCTCCGAGATTAGAAGGTGACCTTGATTTTCTTAAATGGAACTGTATGTTTTTTTTTCTAGATAAGCTTGTAGTCCATTCCAAGATGAAATCAGTCATGTACAACACGTTGGCATTTCAAGGTCGCGGTAAACATGAGAAACACCGACGAAACAATGCGAGGAAATACTCGGACTACATAAATTTTGGAGACTAATGTAAGTTTTGAACGGCATTAAATGACTTTGAGCAATCTCGAATGACCAAATTGTTATAGGTCAATGAATTCGTCTTGGAATGGGCTACAAGTTTATCTAAAAACACACAGTTCCATTTAAAACAAAATCAAGGTCACCGTCACATCTCGGAGACATATCCAGTTAGAGAGAATTTGTGACTACCATAAGATATCCGTCTTGAAACAATTTTAGAAACAACCTTAGCTTAGAAGATAATTAAGTGCAAATCTTCAAATTGATCACCCTTATATGAAATATATATATATATAATAAAAATATATATATTTTTATATAATAAAAATGTATATACAGGGTGACACATTTAAATCGATCCAGTCAAATATCTTCGAAACCGTCAATATACTAAAAAATGTTTAAAACGAAATTTGAATGGTTTTAGGGGGCATGTAATCTGATATTAATAAGATTTTTCTAGGTGAAAGCGTTTGAGGACATATGAAGGTCAACTTATTTTTTTAAATGGAATCATACATTCTTTAATGTACTAAGCGACACAGCTCGCCATTCTCTTCATAAAAATACTAGGGCTCTTATTACGAACAATCATTGGTTTAAAAGATATCTTAATTTTATTAATGCATAGTGTTAAAACACTCGCCTATCTAATGTTTGTGTTCAAACATACAAGCTTCAGCCTGAATGCAAAGATTTACTCTTGTCTCTAAAAGATACTAAAATTCAAATATCTTCTAAACAAATGATTTTTCGCAATAAATGCTTTAGTATTTTTATAAGGAGAATGACGAGCTGAATCGACTAGTATAATAAAAAATATATGATTTCAGTAAAAAAAAAATTAAGTCCTCGACGCGTTCACCAAAAAAATTTTATCAATATCAGATTACGTGCACCCTAAAACCATTCAAATTTTGTTTGAAAGATTTTTTAGTATCATCGACGGTTTCGAAGATATTTGACTGATTCGATTTAAATGGTTCATCCTGTATAACAATTGCCGTGTTTATTTTCGTATTTAACTTCTATGACGCTGTCATCGTTTTCAATAGCAAACACTAGCGATATTATACACACATATTTGCACAGTGTCTTGTTACGAGCTGAAGAGTGTGCATAGTTGTGTACTAGACAAACATGAGAAACTAAAATGAAAGTAACATGACATACATATACAGTCAGACAGAAAAGGCTCCGTATACCTTTTGAAATGGAGTAACTTTTTTCAAAGTAGAACGCACAGCTGTAGCTTTTCCAAGAGCTCGGAAAGATCCGTTTGCTATGCAATATGTAAAACACATTTTTAGGAACTTGTAATTGATTAGAATGATAGAAAAACTAGAAAAAATTCGCTTTATACAATTTTTTTTACGTAGTGTAAAAAGACGGATAGTCGCTATGCAGTATAAACAGTTAAAAACGGTGAAAATCGCAATTCTTCACGATTTTTAGCTTACGATCGTTGTTTGTTTCTACAGCCATCGACTTCGATTTTTATCATGTTGACATACAATCGATATGAATTTTAAAAATTAATTTTTTCAATGTCCTGTGAACGAGAATATAAAAAAGCGGATATAGTATTTTTTCGCAATTCTAACCGAATGCAATTTTCTCAAAAAATTTGGTGCACATCTGCTAATAAACTAATCTATGTAGCATCTCAAGAAACTCAAATCAATTGAACCAATTTTTAGGAAAGTTATCCTGTTTTAACACTCGAACGTCGGACTATTTTCGACAAAGATACACACGTTAAACTGACTATGGCTAGGATAATATCTAATTTTATTTATTAACCTCTTTCAACATATTTTTTGTGGTTCTCCATCTAGACACCTGTTGTTTCTATTCGATCTTATTGAAATTCGCCAAAATTTCAATTGTCACAAACTAGATCGTCAAGTAACAATATTTATACTCTGGGTCCAAATAGTTCTAGACACTATAGTCCGAGTGTTAAGGCGTGGGTCCGTCTGAAAGTCT